CTGCCAGACCGGCTGAGCTTTTCCAGCAATTTCTGTTTTTGTTTCTGATTTACAGCATCCACAGTCCTTTTGGTTTTTATTATGAATTCTGATATGCTGGCATTTATGCTTCTCCTAAAAATTAACAGGTAAAATGAAGACATCCTCTATACAGACAACTATTAAAATTCCAGGAATGCTAATATCCCTGATTTTCTTTAAAGAAAATCAGTGAATAAACCTATTCACACAAAGAACTTAAAAATAGTAAAATAAGTTCATTTTTAAAATCTTAAATTTTATCCTGATACATGCCTATAGTTACAAGAAGCATCTTTTAAATGTGATCAGGTCTGAATTAGTTAAGAGTTTCATTTTCAAAGAATTACATTATGGACACAGAAAATGATTTTCTGTTTCCTAATCCACTGGTTGCATCCCATTTAGACTTCAAAAGGATCTATTCTGTCACACTTTCTGTACAACTCTTGCATCTACTTCATAAATAAGTATCTTTCCCTCACCATTATAACACTGAGCAGAAATACCGCAATTGGTCTATGAGAAGCAGACAACACCACACATCAGGTAGGCTGCTGGAAAATAAAACATGCTACTTTTGGTTTCAAATAGAAAAACATCCAATGGTCTTCTAGAAATTCTACTCCCTACACACCTCAATAGTTCCCTCGCTGGCTTGACATCCAAACATGGGGCCCTGTCTCTAACACTACATATCCATTACTACCTTCCCTCACAATTTGGACATAATTGGTATTTCAGGAGTACAGCCAAGTGCAAATGTCCAGGTCTCCCCCTCTATTAGCTACACTCCAAATCTTTGACACACTAAAGCTACAATCTGATGTCACCTTCAACATAAGGAAGCTGGCTTTAGTAAGACAAGCATGGGGAAGTAATCCCATGTGCTCAATTTAAAGTAATGCCTGCTGGGATCAGCAATTATATAGGGCTCTGGAGGGAGCACAGGGAGTGATTACACTAAATAAGGAACTTTGTTTCAAGATATGAGTTTTGTCCTCAAATAACCCTAAAAAAACTACAATTGAGACTTTGGCCCTTCATTTCAAGCAAGATTTCATCACATGAAAGTTTTTTTGAATATTGCAGCACCATATGTGGAACTTTTGTTTGTTTAGTTTCAATCAGCCTTGCAGTCCTGTCTTTTCACATTAGCTGTCAGAAAGAAGATCCGAGCCCATTTCAGCTGTCATTGATCCAAATGTTGCTTTGGGAGAATTTCAAGTTAGAGTGTACACACCTGAAATACCAGTTGGAACTGTTATAGATTACTGTATAATTATTTAGGATAAAGGGCAGTAAAAAAAGCACAGAACAAAAAAAAAAGTCTTTACCTGGACTGTTGGCCACTGAATCAAAATGGCAATTTGCAAGCACTGCATGTTTTGCTCCTTTCTTTGGTTCCAGCTTCACAACAACATTGGTAATATTATCATAGTAGCTACTGAAACCTCCAAGAAAATCAATGCTGAAAAAGCCAGTTGGTCTCTGGATATCCACTACAATGTTATTTGCTACTGCCTTTCCTTTGATTTCCTGGATCTGTTTTAGCAGGTAGTTCACAGTAAGGATTTCATTAGCAGGGCTCCCAACAGGCCTGGGTCCAAATTCAGTAATGTGCTGGAGATGCTTCCTGAAAAAAGAGAGATAAATCAATGTTTTGTCACCTTACTAAGTGAAACTACTTTATTCTATGTTTTGAAGAGTTAATGTCAATCTTTAGCCTCTTGTCCATATACTTCTGCCTTCAAGTCAAAATTCACCAGCCAAGATCTTTACGTTTAGTCATTCCCATCACGTGTCCAAAATTGATGCAGACTCTAGCACATTGCACTGTGCTCCAATTTCAAAAGAACACTCCTTTTTGTCCAGGTGCAATTTTTACATTCTCCAAAACCAGTTTTGAACAAGGCAAATGAGTGCTGTTTGTACTGAAACATGGGCAAAGGTATGAAGGATCTGAATATTCCAATTGTTTTAGATGAATTTCAATCCAAGGTGCAGAAATAAAAAAGGTTGCATTATTCAAGACACAGAAAGCACTTTTAAAAAATGCGGCATTGTTATTCTCAAAATCAAGATAACACTTCTCTCCACTTTTGTAATTTAAAATTGCTGGGTTGAAGTTGGCCTTTTCAGGCTCCATATGATTTTCATGAAAGCAGTCACAAGCTGATTTATGCCTGATAAGTGAGAATAAGAATTGTGACTTGGAGGCTGGAAGTGTTTACATCAGGAAATGCTACAATTTGAGTGTATTTGTGTCACCTGTAGTCCAATATGTTCACTGGGTGTTTGAAGGATTGCAACCCACAGGAGAAAATGTGAACACAGATCTATTTCGAAGTGGGTGGGGTATTGGAAAAGAGGGTTGAAAGGCCATAATGCTGATCCACATTGCTGTATTTACTGTTCTGAGTTTCCAACATCATCATCCATGAGAATGGGCCTTAAAACCAAACCAACACTGGTCACCTCCATCTCCGAGCCCATTTTCATCTCCAACCCAAGCCTGCCTCACAAACACAAAAATAGGGCAAGCAGACTCCTTTAGGATGAAGATGGGATTAAGATAATTACCTAACATATGATATCACTCTCAAAACAAAAATCACAGCCTCACTATAACAGCAGGGATGCAGATAGGAGGAAATCGGCTAAGTTCCATTTTCTTTTCAGTGGAGGGCTCAGGTGTAAAACATTCTGATCCTAAGGCAGTAAATATATTGGGCTAGGAAGTCTGACATAATCCAAATACACAACTTCAGAATCCGTGGATCACCAATAGAGCACACAGTTCAAGCCAAAACAGACCAAAAACTAGTGCCTGCATTCTACCAGTCAGTCACTTTCTTACTGCAAAACTGCAGCTGCTGTTATTTTCGATATCATTAGAAATTAAACGTAGGTAGAATAAAACTTCAAATTCAAGTACACCATGGCATGTATACTTCTAATTACTACTCCAACATTACACTGTTTGGTTCTGTTCAACTGAAGCTGGTTACCAAATACTTGTTAATGTGACACCTACAAAGTGTTATCTCCTTTTAAGTTCGGTAGCCTTGCATCTCTGCTGGAAACAGCATGTCTCTGGAGCTTAGCACTACCAAGCAATCAAATAGGTAACTCAGAACTTTGAGTATTACTGAAAAAAAATTCACAAGTCTTACATTCATTAGGGCAGGGCAATTATTGGTACTCTTACAAAGTATCCTGCTAAGTGCATATAAGCAAACTTTGACAAAATGAATCTTTATTCAGCATTATCTACGAGTGTTCGAATTAAGGAAGTGTATATAAAGACAAAAAGAGCACTACATTAAAGCGTTGTCAGGTTGGATGACAGTCACAGGAATTGGCAAGGTTCAATCTAACTGGGACGTTGCAGGCTGAAGGTCTCTATCTCCGGGTTACCTTGCCGCCTTGGCGTCGAAGCCATCCCGGTGCTGGCTGGGCCCCACTGCCACAAGCTGCCGCAGGGAGAGGTGAATCAGTACCCACAGCAGCAGCAAGTAGATGGCTACCAACAATGAGGCCCCCGCATCCGCTACCTCTCCGACAGTTCTCACACCATCTTCCCGGCCTTTCCCGGGTCTGTGCCAGCCCCGAGCTCTGGCCCACGAAACCGGTTCCGCAGACGCGGCCTGAGTCTCGGCCGCCTTCGCCCCTACCCCACGAATCCGGACAGCACGGCTCCTGGAGCCGCTCTCCAACCCTGACTTCTCCCCGGTGACCGCCGACATTGGAGCTCAACTCCTGGGACTGCCCGGCCGGTGACCCCGCCCCTCAGGCTGGGACCGACACCGCGCCCCCCGGCTCGGACCGACATCGACCCATGACGCGGGCTGACACCCCGCCCCCGAATCCGTATGACCCCACCCACAGGCTACGTCCGACCCCACCCCCGGTTCGGACGGAGACCGTTCCCCGCAGGCTTGGACTGGAGACCCCGCCCACGGCTCCGTATGACCCCGCCCCCCGGCTCGGACGAAGACCCTGTCCCCGAGGTTTGGACTGACACCACAACTACTGCGCGGACTGACTCCAGCCCCCCCACCCCCGAGCGGACTGTCACCCCGCCCCCGGCTCCGAATGACCCCGCCCCCGGCGCGGAATGATCCCGCCCCCGGCTCCGAATGACCCCGCCTCCCGGCGCGGACTGACACCCTGCCCGCCGGCCACGTTTGACCCCGCCCCCGGATCCCGCATGACCCCGCGTATCAGGCTCGGACTGACACCGCGCCCCGCCGGACAGGACTGACCCCGCCCCCTGACTGGGAATGACCCCGCCACCCAACTCGGACTTACACCCTATAACAGAGCTCCCACCTCGGGAAGAGACCCCGCCCCTTTTCCTGGGATCACGCCTCTTGTCGGAAAAGTGCCGCTCCCCGGTATGAGAGATGGTAGGAACTGCAGAATCTGAGATAACAAGGTGTAGAGCTTGGCCTGCTGTGTTCATCCAGCTCTACACCTTGTTATCCCCGATATGAGACCCCGGCCTTTCGTCAGGCCCCCCCCCCGACCTGCCAGCATCCCTAATTTCGTGTGGGTGTTTATTCAGCCACATGGACCAAGGGTTCAAGCCTCACTCCAGAATCTGAAATAGTAATTTAGTCTTACATGCCAGAGGGTCGATTGCATTGCTAACAGTACTAGCACGAAAGTCTGTCTACTGTCTAAGGTATTCCAGAGCACAATTTAATAAGGAACAAAGAAGTTCCCATGAACGATATTTTCTCTCTACGACCACCCATAGGTACTGGAGTAATAGTGACTGCGTTTCTTACGTAATTCATCAGTTGTGAAGCAATTTAGAGTCATACAGCACGGAAACAGACCCTTTGGCCCAACTCATCTATGCTAACCAGGTTTCCTAAACTGAACTAGTCCCATTTGCCCGCATGTGGCCCCCATCCCTCTAAACCTTTCCTATCCTTGTACCTGTCCAAATGTATTTTTACATTGTAGTCGCCTCTACCACTTCCTCTGGCAGCTCATTCCATATACACACTACCCTGTGTGAAAAAAATTACCCCTCAGGTCCCTTTCAAATCTTTCCCTTCTCCTTAAAGTAATGCTGTCTAGTTTTGGACACCCCTATCCTGGGGAAAAGACCATGGCTTAGACCGTATGTATGCCCCTCATGATTTTATAAACTTCTATAAGGTCACCAATCAGCCTCCTATGCTCAAGGGGAAAAATGTTTCAGCCTGCTGAGCCCCTCCTTATAGCTGAAACCCTCCAATCTCAGTAAATTCCTTGTAAATCTTATTTCGCCCTTTCCAGTTTAATAACATCCTATTTATCACAAGGCAAACCAGAATTATACACAGTATTCCAAATGTAGCCTCATCAATATCTTGTACAGCCATAACATGACGTCCCAACTCTTGTATTCAGTGCTCTTACCGATGAATGCAAATGTGGCAAATGCCTACTTCACCACTCTGTCTACCTGTGATGCCATTTTCAAGGAACTATGTACTTGTACCCCCAGGTCTCCCTGTTCGACAACACTCACTAAGGCCCTACCATTAACTGTGTAAGTCCTTCCCTGGTTTGTCTTACCAAAATACAACGCGCCACATTTATCTGCATTGAATTCCATCTGTCATTCCTCAGTCCACTGACCCAGTTGATGAAGATCCCGTCACACACTCAGATAACCATCTTCACTGTCCATTATACCACCAATTTTGGTGTCATCCCTAAAGTTACTAACCATGCCTCCGATATTTTCATTCAAATTGTTTATGTAAATGATGAACAACCATGGACCCAGCATTGATCCTTGCGGCACACCAATGGTCACAGGCCTCCAGACTGAACCCTCTACCATTATCCTCTGTCTTCAACCATCAAGTCAACTTTGTATCAAATTGGCTAGCTCTTCCTGGATCCCATGTGATCTAACGTTCCTAACCAGTCTACCATGCGGTACCTCATCAAAGGTCTAGCATGAGCTGTAGACGTCTACTGCTCTGCCTTCATCTGTCTTCTTGGTTACCTCTTCAAAAACTCAAATTTGTGAGACACAACTTCCTAAGCATAAAACCAAATTTGAAACATCCTAACAGCTTGGATGCTCTTACTACAAATTGCTGAAAAATGTATCAAATTTATCTGAAATTAAAGTTTCCAGAGAGAAGTCATGTTCCCTAGCCTCTTGAAAACCATGCAGTGCTCACAACCATACAAATATTACCATTGTTGTTTGGCATGCATTCGAGATTTATGTATCGCCAGGTAGACTGTGTCTAACTAACTAGATATATCTGAGAATATTCTGGCAATTTTGATGACGTGTTGGTTATCTTCAACCCGAAACATTAACTATATTTCTCTCCACAGATGCTGCCTGACCTGAACATTCCCAATGTTTTCCATTTTTATTTTTGGACACTATTTGATCTACCTACTTCATCCAAGGTTGGAAACCCTTCAATTCACCCAGTTTAGTACCTACTGCACCCTGAGCTTTTGCCTCTTTAGACCTACCTGTGGTCTTCAATATAAGCTGTGGCTCAGTATCAGGTGACCCTCTTCACACAAGATTCTTGGTTCAATTCCCATTGCAGCACTTCATCACTCAAATCTAGACTGCTGTGCAGTATTGAGAAAGTGCTGCATTATGAGAGGTAAATGTAAAAGATCCTGGAGCACTATTTTCGAAGAGGGGCAGTGGCATTATCTCTCCTGTTCTAGACAATATTTATCCCTCAATCAACATCATAAGACACATTATCTGGTCACCATCATATTGCTATTTGTGGGATGTTGCTATGTACAAATTGGCAGTCATATTTCCAACATTGCTACAGTGACTACATTTCAGAAGTATTTAATTGGCTGTAAGATGCTTCATGATCCTACGGCAGGACTTCACAAGCTGTTGGTTGTGACTTAGTGAGTGAGTGTTAAAGAATGTAGGGATGTGAATACGAGTGGCAGACAGTGAATGAGAGTGAGAATGTGAGGAAGTGAGTATTTTGACCGTGAGTGAAATGAGTATGTTACAGAGTGAATGAGGGTGAGAGTTCATGAGTATGCTGAGTGTGTGGTAGAGTGTGAGAGTATGAGTGACAGAGAGAGAGCTCATGACTGAGAGAGTGGAAGGAAGTGAACATGTGTGGCAGAGAATGAGTGAAAGTGTGAGTGAGCATGTGAGGGAGAGAAAGGAGGTAACTAATTGACATAACAAAGGATAACAACTCAACATTTGCTCATACACTGAACCCTGAGTAAGAAGTAATGTTATTGAAACAAAAGATTATTAGGGGACTAAACAGGGTGGATGCTGAGAGACATTTCCCCTTGTGTGGAGTTGAAACATATGGGACAAAGTTTAAAATTTAGTGTCCGTCAGTTGAGGCTGAGATAAGGAGAATTCCTTTCTCTCAGAGGGCCGTCAGTTTATGGAATTCTCTTCCCAAAGAGCAGTGGAACATGGATCATTCAATATTTTGAAGACTGAGTTATATAAATTTTTGATCAACAGTATCGACAGTCAAGTGCGATGGGGGTCAGAACTGGAATGTGGTGTTGAGGCCACAACTAGATCAGCATGGCATTATCAAATAGCAAAGCATACTTGAGGGGTCAAATGACCTACCCTTGCTCCTAATTCTTATGTTAATCTGATTGGGACGTTGCTATGTTAATTTTCTGGCAAATACCAAGTAAAATATCATACCGTTTAATCCCACATAAACTCACCTCTCTGCATTATATCAGGATGGGTCTCTGAAGAAAGAATGTTTTGTCATTTAACCAGTTCCTTAATTGCAATTTTGATGGAGTAAAGTCATAAGCTAGGCAAGCTGAACAGATTTTTTATTCCTGCAACAACTAATCTTATTAGATCAAATTTTATTTGCATTTTCAATTGTTCCAGTAACTACATAATTTTGACAGCTTTTGGTGAATATTCTTAAAAAGATTCTTGAAAGTTTTGAAAAATGGTTTCTAGGAAAGAAGGAGTTAGTTTTGCATTGTTAAGGTACTGTAGTATTTGGTAGCATTTGGACCAGACTATAAATATATTTACCAGCAAATTTCCAGAGTTCTCAATACATTAGAAAATAAGCTGTTTTTCAGTAGAGTCATAAAACCAAGACACTTCCAATTCCCTATGCCAATTTTACAGTTTCCATTTTTCTGGTCCTAACTGTTTTACCGTGGTTATCCCAGCCCTTTACATCTCCATTGTCCATCAGGATGGCTTGAGGTGTCTTGGCATCTTCTTTGAAAGGAAGTCCAGCCAGTCCTCATTCACTACCATGCTCTTTTGTCTGGCCAAATATCTGCTTGTATTTGTGCAAATTTGCCTTTGACTCCTCTGACTTCTTCCAAACAAAATGTGTTGCTATGGGCAACCATATGTGACCTGTCTGTGCTGCTTCTTCATTGGAAACACTTTGTTCTGGTCCCATTCAGGTCTCCTCTTTACTCAGCACATTGAACAATGTATTGGTGCTTTCAGCCAGGACTTGGAAATGTCATTAACATTACTTCTGATATATTCTCCTTCCTTATCTTCACATGGTCCATCTCAAACTCTTTCCCTTCCCTGCTGTGAACCAATATGTTTTCTAGGGCCATTGATTCCCTCATTTAACCTGGTGATGACTCTAGTACAATAGTCCTGATTTCTCTGTCTCTATCACTTTTTGATAATGCCACTGACCGTCTTCCTTATTTTTCAAGTAAGGTTTTCCTCTGCCATGATCGATAGGGTCATGCTTGTCCCATTTATATCCCACACCTTGCCCTCACACCATTCTCGCATTCCCAGCTGGACAAAAAAGTTTCACTTGCCCTCACTGGATTTTTGTCCACCTTTTTCATTCCTCACAGTAAATTACCTTCCAAAGTGCAACCATTCTTGTTTAATGTAGACACATGTAGTGGATATTCTGCATACTGCAACAATATAGGCAACATTGAGAACAATGATTGGTTAATCAGTTTTAAATGTTTTAGATTGTGTGTTGAATGTTGTTCAGAACACAAGTTGTATTGGGTGTCTCCACATATCACTGTAGTATGACTGGATAGCAGAATGAAACAATTACTATGTTACTTGGTTGTTTCAATTTACACCATAGGATGTCCTGTGCCTTGAGCCAAATATGGCTGGGATGAACAAGCAGTGGGAAATTGAATAAAACATACGGGAAAGCAAAGAGCAAGTATGAAAAAACAACAAATGTAAACCTATTAAATTTAGATTCCAGTAAAGAAATGATGCATTCTGATTAAAAAGAGGCACAAAGTCTGCCGATAAGAATGTTTGTTGCCACATGTCCAAAGTAGATTATCGAGCATCCAGTTCAAAAATGTAATTGAGTTGATAGGATTAACAGAATATCTTGATCATGAAATCGGCTTCAGGCATTGTGCAGTTAGTAAAACCTCGAACTCACTTCACACCTCAATTAGGAGTTTCTGTGGGAAAATTATTGTTCTAAAATAAGATTAACACAAAGTTGGTCCCGAAAACGTTGTCACTTTACTCCATCAGAGTGTAACAACTAACTATAACTAACTAAGGACAAACTATCTTTAAGTAATGCTCTGGCATCCTTTTGAAGAGATGTGTACATAGACTTTCAAAAAGAGTTTGATAAAGTGCCTTTTAAGCAAAGTTGGAGCTCATGAAATAAAAGGGACAACATAAATATTAATTTGGTTGATATACAGGGCACAGAGAGTATTTGTGAAGCTTGTTTTTCAGACTATAGAAGGATCTAAGCTGATGCTTCCCGGGGCGTTTTTAGGACCTCTGCTCTTCTTAATACTTATCAATGACCTAGACTTTAGAGTTTGGGGATCGCAATTTCCAAATGTAGATGGATTGAAAGTTGGAATTATTGTGAACTGTAAGGAAGACAGTATTAAACGGTTATTTAGTAGTACAGAACTTGAGTATTGTTGAAACAATGGATTTTGTGGATGCTTTTAGTCTTGCACTCATCAGGATTTTTCACAAGAATGCAAATTTAAGTGGAAAACCAACATTTATACTGTTTGAGAGGAAAATGTTGATTGGTTGGCAAATAGACTCTGTTTTAAAGAGGTACTGCCATGGTGAATGCACCCATTAATGCTGATTGACAGTTAACAGCCAGGCTTTATAATATTTTAATCCCGGCAGGGTTGATTAGTTGATCAGGGCATTGCTCTAAGAAATGAACCAGTGAATGGTTATCATCTATTGTGCTGAATTGAAACAGATATAATGCAAATAAATAACATTTATGTCTGCAAAGCACAGGGTTCTGTGTATTAATATATGTCGCTTCTAGTATGTGAAAGTGCACCACACTCCAAACCCAAATGGCAATGCTAAATTGGTTGTCAATGTAATTCTTCACACATGCAGGATTATCCAACAAATGTTGTCCAATTGCAGAAGTATATCTAATGTTGGACAGTGTTGTACATTTTTCAAACACAGGCAGGTTGTGTAGGGTCAGTACCTTGTTGCAAACAGCCAAAGGATATGTTGTTTGATACAAACTGCCTAGCTTTAGGACATACAGCCTACATACCTGGAATCACACCAGCACGGAAAATTGTACACAACCTTACTCTTTTGTGCAATAGCAGCATGTCTTTACTGGCTTGACAGTAGCTTCCTGTGAATGTTTGGACATGACCCGTGTTGCTATATTTTCTGCAGTTCAGGAGAATGAGAGGAGATCTACTTGAGGGATATAAGATGCTAAAAGGGATTGACAAATTAGATGTAGAAAGGACGTTTCCTCTTGTGGGGCAATCTTGAACAAGAGGTCATAACTTGGGTTAAATAATAGTAAATTAGAAAGAGATGAGGAGAAATAACTTATCTGGAAGGGTTGTGAATCTATGGAATTTGCTACCAGAGAGTATGATGGATGCTTGGACATTGAGGAAGAGATAAACTGATTTTTAATTAGTAATGGTTTGAAAGGCTATGAAAAGCAGGTAGGAAAATGGAGTTGAGGCAAAGATGAGATCAGTCATGATTGTATTGAATGGTGGAGCAGGCTTGAAGGGCTGTATTACATCCTTCTGCTCCCAATTCCTGTGTACTGCAGCAAGCAGCATGAAGCAACTAGTTTCACCTGCAAATTAAATTGTAAGATAACTTACCCTAGCAGAGAAATCTAAGGTAGACTGGACACTTCTTACAACCAAGAATGGATTTCAAAAAATTCAATGTCTTCCTTTTTCTCAGTGGAAACTGTTATTCTTTGAATAAATAAATAAAAGTCAGGCATGATCTTTGGCAGATGTGGACTTGATGAGCTGAATGACTTTTTCTGTTCCTTGTGCTTTTGATTTTCCAATGTTCCTACATTTTGTACTTTTGCTGTCACGATTATTATTCAAAAGTTATCATTCATCTGTGTCAGTGTTGGATATGACTCTAACTGACTGGAAGAGGTGGTTTTGCAAAAGCATAACACGTGTCTTACATAAACAGAAGGTTTTTATATAAGCTAGGCTACTTTATATTGTCAATAAAAGTATGACCATGGCTTCTGTACTGCAATAACACTTTATTTTTCAGCAATGTACTAGGCAAAGGAATCAGTACCCGTGCCTGCAAACAACATTTTCTGATCCTTTGAGATGTGATTAAATGTTCCCTGTCATCTTAACTAAATCTTAAATAACCAGAAGCAACAATGTGGTTGATTTGAACTGCCCTCTTAAATAGCTTAACAAGTCACTCAATTGGATCAAACTGTTACAAAGAAGTCTAATAATGAAGGAGATAAACCCAACGTTAGCCTAGGTACTGAACAAAGTACAAAAAACAAAGGCACATCATATCCAGTTAACCTTGCAAAATCCATCTCACTAACATGTGGGATTTGGGCAAATGTTAATAGTTTTATTATCTTTATGACTTGGCAACGTAAAGATTTATCAGCTAAAATTTTAACTAAGGGAGATTTCAGATCATTAAAGGAACACAGTTAGCATCACTAGCTATTGACACAGTCTTATGGTAAGAATCGATTCTGGGTTACATTATAGTAATGATTATAGTATAAGATTACAATACAGTGCCAGGTAATTAAAGAATGTTAATACACTTTGTAGCACCTGATATATATCAGCAAAGTAGACCAGGAATCTCTCCTACTCCTATTGCTTGCCATTAGTGTATGTTGGAATAATTTGCTGTTTGGCCACATGATGGGTGCACCTTGCTTAAGATCAAGTTCTGGATTTGGACCAAACCTGGAGCTTCTGGATCAGAGGTAGGGATGCTACCCACTATGCTATAGATCTCCAATGTGTTAAGCTTACTCAGATTTAATTTCAGAGTATGGGTACTAGATCTAGGTTTCAGTTCACGTAAGCTTTAATTATAGTTTTGAAGCAACAGCATGCATTCACAAACTCTACCTTGGACTTGACAATGAGGATCAGGCAGTAGAAACAAGTTAAATTTTTTGTAAATAGAATGCGGTTACCAATCAAAGAAGCCCTCTGCAATCTAACAGTCTATCTTGCAACCTGGGCTCACACAAATACCTGCACGGATCAGATATCAGAAGACCAAAAACACAAGCTGAACAAATCCCAGCATGAACCAGAAACATTAAGAGCTGATGTAGGCTCAGATTGGGATAAAAACCAACACATAATCAGGAATAATGCTTGAGAACTTATGTATGAATTATGTGAATCTCCTTGAATAACATTGAGAGAAACATTGCTTTCAGCTCCAAAGAGAGACAATAAATAAATCACATGCTGGAAAAAGTAACAAAGAGGTTCTGTTCGGATTCTAAACTAAATTTCAGTCTTATGCTTATTCAGTGTTATTAAAACAGACAGCAAATTGAATTGACAGAATCTGCTAATAGTTTTCTTCGATTCTTGTATGTTGCTGTGCTGCTTATTCATGCCTATTAGAGCTAAGACATCTCCAATGGTCAGGTCTCAGTCTCATGATAGTCATGAGAACTCTGATCAAAGAAGTGGGGCAGAAAATATGAGTAATGATGAGTAGAATCATACAGCACGGAAAAGAGTAACACCACTGCTGCTCAGTCCACGATTCAGGAATCCACCAGACGTCAGCACCAGCTTCTAACACGGGTAAAGTTGCTCGTACTTACTACTGGTGCAACTAAATTAGCTTGCTTTAGCTTTAGTTTTAATTCAATTGAATAACATTTAAGTATTGAGAAAATTTCCTATGTTCAATCATGTGATACTGTTATTTAATGTATTTCATAACTTAATTAAAAACTTACTGAGTATATTGTAGTGCTCACTGTGAATCAAATGATGGAAAGATCTCGCATTTTATTTTTTTTATCAAGGAATCTGTGCTCTTGCTTATATTTGTTCTTCCCCCCAAGACTGATTCACATTAATCCTCAGAAATGCCAAAAGGTGATTACATCATGCCAGGATCTTTTGGAGGTGGAAGAGGTGGACTTTACCTCAGATCAGAAGAGTAAGTTCGAGCATCCATTATCTGGAAAGGCAGGCATATTGATCACTTTTTCTACTGTAGTGTTGTTCTGAGAGTTTATAGTCTCTGCCATTGGCATTATTTGATGGCACTCTTCCAATTTTGCTAAATTGGGTCATGTATTAAATTCATTTGCTTCCTCAGTTAAAAACCTGATTACATTCATCTGTGACTCTCAGAATCAACTGAGAAATTCTGTTGTGAAAAGCAGCAGATTTAGCACAGTTGATCTTACTATTACTCTATTGTTTGATTGTCAATTTAAGCTCTGACCAGATTAAATTGTGTCTTCCAAGTTTCTGCTATTGCTGCATGGAAACAAACATTTTTTCCAACTTCTTGGAAGACGCTGTAAATGCATTACTACTGTATAAAGTACCTTCTTGTAACCCACTATGCAGATTTAAAATGGTATATGTGTGATCTTGATTGGATTGTGCCCATTAACCTTGACAGTATTATTTAAAAATGCTTATATTGGATTATAAACAATTAGTTGTAGCTCTGTAACTTGCTAGCAAATACAATTTGTACATGGAATTGATAGAAGCCTCTTTACTAAAAAGGTTCATTTAAAAATGATGAAAAGCTAGATAATCTGAAGGAGAAAAGGCAGAAAGATGTGTGATAGGACAAGATAGAAGTAAGATGACAGCAGACTTTGGTGCAACACAGACAGTGGCATTGAACTTCTGGAGTTGGATGGCACACTTCTCTTCTGTAAATACAATATAATTCTCCCAGAGTCAGAGTTTTACAGCAAGGAAAGAGGATCTTCAGCCCATTGTCTCCACCCTAATCCCATTTTCCACCACTTGGCTTAGTACCTTGTACACTGTGGCATTTCAAGTGTTCATCTAAATAGTTACATTTTGAGAGGGTTCCCACTTTTACCACTTTTTCAACCAATGACTTCAGATAAACCCTATTCTCTGGGTTAAAAAAAAATCCTCAAATCCCCTCTAAATCTCCATCCTATCCATTCTAGTTTGTTTAAGAATATCACGTCCTAATCTTGATTTCTATGCCAACATTGCATCTCTATTCACTATAAAGAACAACAAAGTATTCTTTTTTTCCCCAAAAGTTCACATTTGCACCAATCTGGTTGGAATTAGACCCAGTTTTTCAATGTTAAGGGATGGAGAACAGGTAGGGAACTGGTTTGTGTTAAATAAATCTACTTTACATTTTAATAGAATAGAATATCCTTTATTGTCACGTTTTCTAATAATCTGTTCAGAGTTGTTGTTATAACACACCTTTGGCACAAATGGGACTTGAATCCAGTTCTCCTAGCCCAGAGTAGGAACACTACCACAAGAATCCAACAAAGTACTAAAACCTCACCATTGTCTTCCAGCTTCACACACTCATTGTCACTTTTTCCCTGATGGGGCTTATGTTTTCACTAATTATCCCCTTGCCTCTAATATATTTACGAAACAGCTTTGCATTTCCTTTGTTCTACTTGCTCATAGTTTACCAAGTCCCCACTTCACGATTTATTTTTTGAGTAACCCCCTCCACTTTCTATACTCTCCTTGGGTTTCTGCTGTTTTGAGTCCTCAGTTGGAAAAATGTGAAGTCATTCGTTTTGGAAGGGAGAACAGAATATTATTTAATTGGAGAGAAACCTGCAACACAAAGGGACTTAGGGACACTCGAGTACGAAACACAAAAAAACTAGCACACAAGTGCAGCATGTAATCAGGAAGGCTAATGAATGTTGGTTTTAATTTCAAGGGAGTTGAAGCATAAGAGTAGGGAAAGTTTACTGCAACTATACAAGTTGCTGATGAGACCACACTGTAGCATTGTGAGGTCCAGCACTACTGGCTCTCTTTTAGGACTTTCTATGCGCTGGCTTAACAATCTCACCTCGACACATTTTAAGAACTCTGCCCTTCTCTAAGCCTTTCACACTTTGCCTATCCCAGTTGACATTGAGGAAGTTGAAATCTCCTACTATTATTGCACTATTATTTTTACACTTCTGAGATTTGATTTCATATCTGTCCTTTTTCTCTCCCTGAATGTTTGGTTCTCTATATAACACTCCCAGCAATGTAACGTGAGATAACAAGGTGTAGAGCTGGATGAACACAGCAGGCCAAGCAGCAGAGGAGCAGGAAAGCTGATGTTTCGGGCCTAGACTTTCTTCAGAAAATCTTTTTTCAGGAGATGCCGGTGCATTGTTGCGAGTGTGTGTTTCAGGAGTTGCAGGGAGAAATGTTTTTGAAGGATCTCAATGTTCTGAATGTAGACATTGTTGCAGTTGGGGCCAAATTGGGAAGGCCTAAATGTGGACTGTAGTCCATTAGGGATAATCTGGTTCCATAGGCATGTATTAAGAAAGGTAATGTGGCTGTAGTACCCGGTTTGCTTCAGGACGTGGTCGAGCAGCATCCCCAGCAATGTAACCCCTCTTTTAGTTTTTTTAAAAATTCTTCCCATTTGGCTTATTTGAGGAATTTTCAAAGACATAATTCATCCTCATTACAGTAATTGACTCCTTGCTCACTATTGTTAACTAATCTCCTCCAGAATACAGAGTCATGTCCCTCCCTCAGCCATGCCTCAGTAATAACAATGATATCACATCCCCGTGTATTAATCAACTCCCTCAACTCATCTGCCTTGTTTGCAAGTCTCCATGCATTAAAATGTCATTCAAGCTTGCCATGCTCCCTTGTGTCTTAACTTGATAATGTGCACTTTACCTGCCAGACTTACTCAGTTTTTCCTTTATAGATCTGTGCATTATCTCCAACCAAGTTAGCTTAAATCCCACCAATAGGGCAATGTCCCCCATCCCAACCTGCAAGCATGCTGGTTCCTTTGTGGTTCAGGTGTAAAATGTCAGACTTTTAACTGGTCCCACCTTCCCCAGAAATGGTGTCAGTGTTTCAGGAATCTAAAGTCCTCTCTCCTGCAGCAACTCTTCAGATACACGTTCATCTGTTCTATCCTCATTCCTACACTCACCAACACATGGCACTGGGAATAATCCAGAGATTATATTCTTTGAGGTCCTGCTCTTTAATCTGCTACTGAACACCCTAAATTTTTGATGCACACCCTCATCCCTCTTTCTACCCTTATCATTGCGGTTCACATACATGGCAATCTCTAACTATTCAACCTCCCTGTTCAGAATTCCCTGCAACTGTTCAGCGAGTTCCTTGACCCTGGTGCCACACAATCTTAGAGTAAAATCTGTGTTCACAGGAACACATGTCCGTACACCTCACTATTGACTCTCCTACACTATTGTTCTCGCTGACTTTATCCTCCCCTGTTGTGCAGCTTGTATCCTGGCTGCAGCCCCCAGAGGAACAGTCACTGTCACCGTATTCCAACACAGAAAATCTATTATTCAGTGAGATGCCATCTGGAACTTTCCTGAACACCATCCTGCTTCTCTTCTTCCAACTAATGGTCACCAATTCCTTCTCTGACAGTACTTCCTTGAACTATTGGGTGAATATGTCCAAAATCTGATATCCATGTAACATTCAGCCTCATGGCTAGATGATGCTCAAGCAATGAGACACAGCCCTCAAACTGGTCACACGTCCTGCAGATTCAGTCATCTAGACAGCCAAGAGTGACTTGCCAATTACTGAGTCTGCGTAACACACAATACTGAACTCCTCTGCCATATCTTGAGTTAAAATGCTCTTGACCTAAATTTAAGTAGATCATTGTTTCTCTTTTTCAAAAAGAGTTAAAATTGTTACCTGTCGTTAATGCAATTTTAAATTGAAGAGAAACAACAGGGTGGCACGGTGGTTTGCACTGTTGGCTCTCAGTGCCCAGGTTCGATTCCAACCTTGGGTAACTGTGTGGAGTTTGCAGGTTCTCAGTGTCTGTGTGGGGTTTCCGCCCAGTCCTCCTGTTTTCTCCCATAGTCCAAACACATACAGGTTAGTTGGATTGGCCATGATAAACGTGAGGTCACAGGTTCTGGGTGGGGTGCTATTTGGAGGTTTGTTGCAGACTTGATGGGCCAAATGGCCTCTTTCTGCACTGTAGGGATTCTGTGATTCCATAAACTCACTGACTACATACTCACCTCTTTGCACCAATATCACTTCTTTCAACCTTCCTGAATACTGGAAGGGTTCTGGTGGGTTTAGCTGCTCCAACTAAGCTTGGCCTGAGACTTTTATTGACAAACTCCGCTGCTGCCATTCACTTTCAGATTCCTCCACTCCCTGCTCCTCTCCAAACATCTTTTTGAAAGACAGAGCAAAAACAAAAGATCTGAGCTTCAGATGAAGAGGGCTAGGGAACAGTTAGCTCAGTTGGCCAAATGGCTAGAGTGCAATGTATAATGAATTCTACAGTGTGTGTCCAATCTACATAGCAGCGGAGATCATTCTTGAGGCCTGCCTCCACCCCTTGACCCATGGTAATATTGTGGCATAAAACACCATTACTAACCCTCAGTCACAAGCTTGTGGAAATCAAACAATGAATTGGAATGTAGCCACTATGGAAATATTGTCATTTCTTTAGTTTCTAAAACTGCATTTGCATTATGAGAGACCTATACCAGTTTAGAATGTCATGCACCCAGCACCTCACTGTCCTCCATCCCAGGTTTATTCTGGTCTTCAAGGAAATCCTTCTCGGTGAAGTCCAGCTTCCATGGACCAGCAACATAAGTACATCACTAATCAAAAAAAAAACCAAAGAACTATGGCTGTTGGACATCAGAAACAATAAGAGAAATTGCTGAAAATACTCAACAGATCTGGCAGCATTTGCAGTGAGAAAGCAGAATTAACTATTCGGGTACAAAACTGAATCGAGTCCAAAGCTGAAATTTTGAAACCATTGATAAAGGGTGACAGAACATGACAAGTTGATGAGTTAACATGCAGGTCAGCCATGATTTAACTGAATTAGCAAAGGGCTGCATAGTCTATTCCTTTTTCTATCCAAAGAGTCTAGGAAGTGATAAAGACTGAAAAGCCTACATTAACTTTCCCAAATGATAAGAGATGCACTTTTTGGAAAACGAGAAATGAAAAATTTGCATTTGGAATTAGAGAAAAGGGAGAGAACCTTAGTGTGATACTTGAATTGATACTTCTCTTTTTCCTCCTGTTTCAGGGCTGTTTGCATTGTTCTTCTGGTTATAATCCTTGTATTTCTACTGATCATTGGATGCTGGTACTACAAGAAACGTAATGGATACTTAGTTCTCCAGGTAACCTAAAAGATATTTGACTGCAGTTGTATTCAACTTAAAGCTGCTGTGTATATTGTCAAGACACTTTACAGGGGAATAGTGTTCCCTCCACAAATGAAATAAAATATCCGATTTTAATTGTTTAGCGGTTAGATCAGACCATGTGTGGTTTTAATCTCAAGATTTCAGCAATGCCAAATCCCATTAGTTTATTTACAATCTATATTCTGGATCTTTATTCAGTCTGGTGTATAGATTTTGCAGTTTTGATTGTACTTGAATTAGCAGTCGTATGTAGGAGAGATTAATGTGAACTGCATTATAACTCCCCAAATGTTTTGTCGCGAGGCAACAAATCAGCTAGACCAGGTAAATATTCAGAAGCAAAAGAATCTCATAAATGTGGGAATTGAAAAACCATATCCCAGTTAACTCATACTTGTTTATATGCTATGTTACCCTATTTGATATTGCACCCTTCAAGGTGTACCATCTAATTTCAGAACCGGCACTTATCCAATACTGTCGTGGGTTCTTTGATGGCAAGACACCATGACAGTGAGGAAGGAACCCCACTGGAGAGTAAATCATCATTGCATGATTTCACTAGCTCAAATCTGGTAAGATTTTCTCCCCCAAAATTTAATACTTTTCAGACTTGAAAATTTGCATTACATGGCTTACAATTTTGGCTCTTCTGGAAAAATTGAAGGTGTGGCATTTTGTGTAAGCAAAAAGATTGAATTTTAACACCTGATTGAATTTGTCATTTGGAGTGTGCACCAGAACCAATCAGAACAGAAGTAGCTCTGTCAATGAGATCATGGCTGATCTGCAGCCTACCTCATATCCCTTGATACCTTAGATAAATTTTTGTTGAGCAATCTCAGGTTTAAAATTAACAACTGATCTAGCATCAACTGCCTTTTGTGGAAGAGTGTTCCAAATCTCTGCCATACTGTGTGTAGAAGTGCTTCCTACAGACTAAATCTTCCTAGGTGCCTTCGTACCTTTCATAACTACAATAATTAACGTAAAATTACTATGCTCCCACATACCTGTACAACACAAACATGCTAAGCCTGTTGTGAATATGGTTTCCAGTCATAAACCATCCATCAATCGCTGCTGATTTAATCTGTCAGATTAAGCATGTAAATTAGTTTTAAAAAAACACTAATTACAATTATTTTCTCTTAACAGATTCCAAATGCTCCTCCTGCATATGAGAAAAATGCTTCAGAACAACTGCCACCGGCATATTCCCCTTAAATTGTCAAAGGGTATTAATCCTGTGCTTCCGATGTTATTATCCCAAACTTGGTTACGCAGCAATGTAATGTTTGTTTTCCGTATACATTAATTGCTTAATACTGATTTTTGCATGAAATAAACCAAAATTAAATAACTTCATTTGTTCAAAATTTAGGATCACATTTGGCAAGGCCCTTCAAAAATTTCATCAGATAAAATAATGGTTTGAATTTTAGTAACTGAATTAAACTGCACAAGAATGGTGATGTCATACACACTAGATATATATTATCATGTGAATTACAACCAGTAGAGAGAGAAGCTCGGCTTTCTTTATGAAGATGGAAAGTAAGCTGTGAGTTTACAAATCAGGATTTGATGTTCACCGAGGTCAACTTTGTTCCAAAAAAAAGTTAAATAACAGAACAGCAGCAAACATCGTAATATTAGGTTCCCTTCTAGTAAAATTAAAAAAGGTGGACAAGCAAGATTCACCTTAATTGAGATTTCTGCATCAAGTCCTATGAAAATTACGGGGAGTTGGTTATTGAGTCAGGCTGTAGAATTGTATTTTGCTTTTTAGCTATCAGTTCAGTTAAGAAAAAAATCAAGTGAAGAAATCACTGGGAAGGTACATTATGTTGATGGGCTGTTTTCAGCAAGTATGGTCATGTTACAACATACCTGGATAGCAAACCGCCAGTTGCAACCACTGCACTCCCAAACGTGCCACCAATGGGGAATGTAAAGTAAAACACAAATCAGTTAGTTAATTTCCTCCTCCCTGCTCACCCCATCCCTAGCCAACCCAGGTCCATCTTGTAATACATCTAGCATTGAATTGTAGAAGGCCATTAGCAAAGATGTTGCACGTTTGTTACAAAAATTCTTTCCCAACCTGCACTATTTAAAAACAGTAGGACAGAACTTGGTCATTATATATTAGCTAGTTAAATATTATAGGGAAGTATATCGGATTTGACATTAGGGACAGAGTGCCTGATACTTGGAGAAATGAGGTGATCAGAACCAGCACAGACATAAGCAGGGCAAGTCATGGCTGATTAACCTGGTGAAACATTTTTGAAAGGTCACAAACATGGTGGATAACGTACTATCTGTGGATGTTAACTCTATGAACCGTAAACAAAAAGGCATATGAAAGAGAGGAGGATAGCAAAAACTTAAGCAAAAAGAATTGTAATTATTCAAATTAGGTCAGTTTTCTCTAGAATTTAAAAGTTCGGGGTGATCTGATTGAAGTCTTGGAGATATAATCAGTAAAAGAGAGGGTAGATAAAAAATATTTCTATTGGTCAGGTATTCTAAAATTAGGGGTTGTAGTTTGAGAATAAGGGCCACACCATTCAGGAAAGATGTTAGGAAGCAATTTTACATACAAAGAGTGGTAGATATCAGCAATGAATGCTGGATTAGTTGTTAATTTTAAATCTGAGCAAGATAAATGTTTGTAAAGGCAAGGTATTAAGGGATGAGGTCGAAGGCAGATTTAGAGTTAGGCTACAGATCAGCAATGATCATATCGAATGGAGGAACAGGCTTGGGGGCTGAATGGCCCACTGTTCCTATATTCTCAGGAATCTGCACCAGAATGAAAGCATAGAGTTTATGTCCGAGTTTGCAGATGATAAGTTAGTGGGACACCAAGTTGATCAAATGTTTTTTTATTTGTTCATGCGATGTCAGCAAGGGCAGCATTAATTTCGCATCCCTAATTTCTAATGAAGAGGGCAGTGAGAAGGTTCAAGAGACATTTTTGAACGACTGCAGCAGTCATGGTGTGGCCCAGAGTGATTTTAGGTTGTTCCAAGATTTCTCAGCCAAGTACAATAATGGGACAGTGATATATTTTCAATGAGTGACTCAGGGGAATATAGCAGATAAGTGGCATGCCTATACTTCTGCAATTGCCCTTTAGGTCACTGGTTTGGAAGATTCTATCAGAGAGGACTTGTCAAGCTGCAGCAGTGCAGTGTGTAAACTAGTACTTCCTAAGCATTTTACCAGTGATCCCATTACTAATTTTGAAAACTGTAGCAACTCCTCATTGAGCGGTCAGAGAAGACGTATTAGTCTGTGAAGTGGGGTAATGGGGGCAGCTATCGTGGTCTTGAGCTCAAAGTTCCAGTTCATGACTCCACTCGGGATCTGGAATCCCCACTTTGAGAAGCCCTGATTGTAGACAATATGCCTTTTACCACAGAAATCATCTGAATGTATCATCTTTGAACTGCTAATGAGATTGTATCCTTTCTCAAATAAGGACATCAAAACTGTACCCAGATACAATCTCATTGACATCCCTGACAGCTGGAGCAACATTTCCCTATTTTTGTGCTCAATATTCATTGTAGTAAATAAGAACATTGCATTTTCATTCCTAATCACTTGCTGTAGCTGCATACTAACATTTTGCAGTTCATGTGCCAGGACATTCAGTTTTGTGGAATAGAGATTTAATAAATACGTCAACTGTAATTTGAGATTGAAGAAAAGTACAGCAATTCTCTTCATTTCAAAAGAAATTTACTCAAAAAATTAAATTTACCAGAGGTTTTAAAGACAAATGAAACCTACTTCAGGCTAGTTTTGAAACAATGAAGCTATTAAGCCAAACTAATACAAAGTTGAAGCATGCAAATTGTTGTAGGTCAGTACTGTTACTAATGGGCTAAATAAAGAGCCACACAAAAAAAAAATCAGACTCAAATTTCACCAGGACAGGGTCCACCAAGGACAAACAAGTAGGAAATACAATCCCCCTACTCTGTGTTACACAGTCATAAATTAATCATTTTAACATATATTCAGTAAAGTTCCTAAAGATTTAAGCAAAAAAAAAAAGAATTTTTATCATACAACATGCTAATGCCTTGTGCATATTTATCCACAGATATGATCACCTATTCAAAGTTGAAAACTTTGGGACTCTGTTTCCTGAGTGTTTGAATACAAGAGCAATTTTAGGTAAAGCAATGCAGTGAGAGAATTATCTTTTTGCCTAACGAGGTAGAATCAAAGGGTCATGATGCATGCTGACACTTCCATTTCTATATTGGGCAACTAAATAATCACGTACGAGGACAGGAATTTAATTAAAAGATACGATAATAGTTTGCAAAAACCTAACTGTATGTAAGAACATATGGAAAGAAAAGTGTAATTTTGAACAATTATTTATAAATCAGGACAGAAGTTATTTTCTTCACAATGTACCAGAAGAGAACAATGTCCATAATATAGGGAACACAGTTATTCCTACAAAGCATTTGTCACATCATACCATCGATGGAAAATCTCCTTGAATAGGTGCCACTTATCTGCTATATTCCCCTGAGTCACTCATTGAAAATATATCACTGTCCCATTATTGTACTTGGCTGAGAAATCTTGGAACAACCTAAAATCTCCAATGGACAATTCAGAGTTGTAAATGGCTGGAACACCCACT